TAGCTGAGACATATTTTAAGGAAAAAAAAAACCACTTCTACCAGATACAGCTTGATGCATTTTGTGCCCCTGTAGACTCGCATCTCAAATTCCAACTGCGTGCTAGTGCTTCAAGCCAAGAAATGAACCCGACTGCACAGCTTTGCAGCTGTAATGGCTTCATAGTTGATGATATTTACAACCTATTTAGTCTTGCAAAGCACAAGAGGACTATGTTTAGGATTTTTTAAGAAACCAAGCTGAGCCAGCAGAGCTGTGGCTCACAAGACCTGTGCTGCTTCCCTGATGTTACAAGCAAAACCTGTTCAGCCCTCGGAGTTACGAGTTCCCCAAATACTTTATCCTTTACAAATGGCTGTACCCTACATTAACTGCAAGAGTAGGTGTTAAGTTTTATCATACAATTTGAAACCATACTACTGCAATTTATTTAACTGAGCTGACTAAGCTTCCTGTGGGAACTGGTGCCAAGTTCTGTGCTGCAGGTGGGTAGGACAGGAGCAGTGCTGACCCCAATACTGCAGTATTAACTAAAAGTTTCCCTAATTCACAGGATTATGCCATAGCCATGTTGTACTTCAAGTCATAAATTGTTACTTTTAACTCTGTTTCTGAAGTACAGTGAGCTTCATAAGAAATTCTGTTTGTAATGGCTGAAACCATATTTTGCCATTTGAAGTTAATATAATCAGTTTTGAGTTTTCTTATATTATTCTGGTTTTGCCGAAGAAGATTTCATCCTTAATGCACCATCAGTAGAACATCCAGTTTACAGGAGTCGTGGTAAAATTAAACTACGCTATTTTGCGAGCCAATAGTCTTGAAATACATCAGTGTAGCAACAGCAAACACGGAGCTCACAGAAACACCCTACATTTTGGTAAATATGATCATTATTTCTCACTTCTTGTTGCCCTTGTACCTGCAGCACATGAAGGGTGAACTGCTGGTTATTTCCACTCTAAGTCCTGGCACTGACTTTTTCCAGCTGCTGTTATTTTTTTACTGAACCATCCAATAATTACTAAGAGGAGAGATGAAGACCAATATTTTCTTGTGCATGTTTATTCCAACATGCTTATGCAGTTTCATTAAGTTTAACAGAACCTGCCTGGTTTGATATCTCTGCTTTACTATACAGGGTTCTTTCATCTTTAGGTCTTACAGTTTATTAACAACTGGTGTTAGGTTAAAAAGATGGAAGATACACAGAAGTGGAGCCTTTAACAACTAAGTTATGTGTTGGGTAACAGAGGGTTTGGGGGGCACTCTCAAATATTTTGTTAAAATTGCTTGGGGGTCTGGGGCAAAAAGGGAGCAGCACAAAAGGCAACAGTGGTTTGGGAGTTTGTGGGGATGTGTTTCAGCCCTCTGCTCTAATGGTGTTTCCTGATTTTTGCTCAAGGTAGGCACTGTCATACATGGAGAACCTGTGTTATTTTCTAAGTCATTAGGGCCTGTGTTTTGGGCACAGAAAATCAAAGAAACCAAGTGTTACTGGAAGAGATTAAACCATTGGTTTCAACTGGATCCATTCAGATACATGGTGTGCACTAACTAAACTAGTTTAAGGTGAAACTAAACTGCAAGTGCACTTCAACCATTTATGGGCATCTAGTTCACAGAATGAGATCTTAACTAGGCTGATGTAAACCCACCCCTCATGGTTTTTAAAACCCATACAGTACCTTCAGCCTGCTTGTTTCTCAGATCCACATCCACTGCTCCACACCAGACACAGCCCACAGCACCGAAAAGCTCAGAAAAGGGCAGGCTGGATTTTAAGACTTCTTAGGGTGCAAGTTGGTTCTTGTACTCATTTTCACTGTGCCCAGAAAAAAAAGTCTCCAATCTAGATCCTAATATTGCAATAGTTATCAAACCTAGAAATATGTCAAAAAGATAATAGGCTGCAAATCTGGAATTGAAGCAGGTTCTAGGCCTCCAAAAAAATGGGACTGAGGTTGCCAGACAGAATGAAACCAGGAGAAAGTTCCTTCCTGCTTCAGAGCTGTAGGAAAAGCAATTCAATCAGAAGGTGTCTCTTCCCTTCCTCCCCCCATTGCAAGAAGGAACAATTCTGACTTACTAGGTCAGCATAGTCTGCAAGGCTTTGCAAAATAACAAAGATGCAAGTACTTTCCTGTGCCTAAGGCTTGCCCTCTCTCTTAAAAAGACATAAATACAAATCATACACACATAAATATATATATTCATTAATTTTATACTTTACTGAGCACTTTCAGAGATACTATAACAGCTGGGCAGAGCAGGGAACGTATTTTCAGCAATATTTTTTTGTAATACCTTTGAACACTGTTTCATGTTTCCACATAAAGCAATGCATCTCTCATACATACCAATGCACTGCAACAAATATTTCTGATGATTGGTTTGTCTGGTTTGAGCAGAGTTAACCTGACCTTGTTCTTTGGAGAGAATTCTTTTCAGCTGAGATATCTAACTCTTCTCGTATGACCTCAAATGCAGCCACTTTCTACCTCCCACACTGAACTGTGGCTCTTTTGTCATCACAAATCTGTTGAGTGGAACTGCACGTGCAACAATGACTTTTTTTGCAAGAAATCAGATTAAGAAGCTAATCAGGGAAAGCCATTTTGGTGTGGTTTAATACTCTTGAAACAAAGTGAAAATGGAGAATATATCAAGCTCATTTCAGCTTAAGGGGGTGAGCGTAAAACTGTCTTTACAGAAAGCCTTCTACTCTTTCAGAAAGTCAGCCAAAATAGGGCATGCTAATAATACGGCATTTGGGAAAAGGTATGTATTATTTTAAGGCTAATTTGATAAATTGCCATCATTAAGACCTTGATAATGGCTAGGTCTAATGCAGCTGCTTAGGTATATAATAATAGTATGATGCCTGCTCTTTGGGTTTTTTTTCAAGAAAATGCTGTAGTTTGACTCAAGCACTGGTGGCAGAACGGGCTGGTTGTCACCACATCTCAACCTGGGGGACAGAATTCAGCTCTTAGAAATCATGTAATTGGTGACTTGGTTTGAAACCTGAGCAATTAGAATTAGTATTACCCAAAGAAACCTCTCTAGGATACAGATTGAGATAATTAATAACACACATTTACTTTATACTTAAATCATACCTGCACAAAACTCAGAGCAAAGCAAGAGGCAAACACAGAGCTCAATTCCAGAGATACAGGACCAAGTTCCACTGAGCATTTTGATTCCACTGGGCTCAGTGGGGACCACTGAGTTTATATTCCCCCAAATTTAGGCATTTGTGGGGCACTTGGATCAGGAGTGTGGCTGCCTTGCCCTGCCTTACGGGCAATAAAGGCAGAGAGGTGCTTTTAGAGATGATGCAAGTCTTAGGTGGGGATCAAAACCCTGGAAGAACTAATCCCTCCCTTATTTCTAGACTCTTAACTGAGCTTAAATGGGTTCAATTTAGGACTCTGCATGCTCATATAAAGAAAAGTTTGGATCCATAATGCTTGTCTTGATCAAATTTTAAAACATGCAAGAGAATTTTTACAAGTAATTTTCAGAGAAGGATTTGACCCCAAGTAGCCACTGGAAATACAAATGCTGTTTTATTATCAGGCAAAGTAAATACTTACCAGATTAATACACAAGCCCCTAGCAGATTTACATTTTTTCTCTTTTCCCTGAGCTCTATTAATATTTAAGTTTGCTGGTGTCCAAATGACCCAACAGAAATTTTTGAAGGAAGTCATTATTACCCAGAGCACAAAAGGATAAAATAGTCCAAAACTTAGCCTTCTTTGAATGGAATTTAAGTGAGAAAGAACAGAGCACATTTCATCTTAATATTTCTGATTCTACAACACATCAATAAGAAGATATATTTATTATAGTGACCAACATTTCTGGGGAAAAAAAAAAATATCAGCATCAGAATAGCTCTTTTGTCTTTAAAGATTTCATGATGGCAGTTGAAAAGGTGTCATTTGTTTTTAATATAATATTTAATCCACACTTAATTACGAAAGGAAACCATGTAATCCACTAAATGAGAGGGAGTTAAAAATAGCAAAAAGAGGTACTAAAATACATAATGAATTTTGGCAGCTGCTTATATTTAGGGAAATGATAAATTCTATCCAAGAAACGAAGAATTGAAAGGGGAAGCAAATTCTCACTGTGTGCCTGAAGTCTGAAGGGCTGTTCACCAGGGCACCAACAATCTTCAGAGCCAATAGCTCAAGATCTCATTAAACCATACAATACTTTATGCATATTAAAACACTAAAGTCTGGCTCATTGCTTAGATGTGCTGCAAAAGTGTAAAATCCCTCTTAGTTCTACTGCTACTTTCCTGTCCAGCTTTACCAAAGTGCTTTTGAACTGGAAAGCTGCTCTGAGGACTTCTGTACTGCCTATTTTCCTTCTCAGATTGGGGAAATCAATTCACATTTGGTTTGGTCCCCAGAACTGTAGTTATTCTGTCATCAGAAGATTCTGTAATCAATTCACAAAATAACATGTGCTATAAAGCCTTAAGCATGTTAAAAATGATGGGCAGACAGCAGGTTTTCACATCCTCAGGTTGTGCAATACTTCTCATCATATGTGAATATTCTTTGCATCAAAAATTATCTACTGTGTACAGTCTGTATATCTACAGTCAGTAAAAGTGTATAAAAATAAAGTTGTCTTTATCTAAAGGAGTCTCTTCTGGAAAAAAAATGTCATCTTCTTCCCTCAAAAAAAAATTGAAAGAAATGAAGAAATAAAAATTGAGGGAAACAGGTAAAAAGGTGTTCAATATACAGTACTTAGTTCAATTAAATGTTATTTAAAGAATAAGCAGTTCTAAAGACATTTACTTGATTCTTCATCCATGTGTTAAAACATAATTTGATCACTATCCACCCTTGGGTGTGTGTTGACCCTGAAGGGCTGCAGTCCATAACCAATTCAACAGCTGGAAGCTCCAGATCTAAGGCTGGAAGTAAAGTTCACCTTTTTAAAAAGTGAAAATAATTAGCCATTGCAAATAAGGCCTGTGGTAGCTTCTCTGGCATTTGAGCTCTCAAACAAAGATTAAATGTCTTTTGGTCCTTTACTGAAGCCACCAAGGCTTCTCCTGTATTCCAAAAGATATCCCCAAGAGGAGACGCCCCAAAGACAGATAATGAGCCCCTAAAGGAGTCAAGACCAAGCCCAGGCATGAAAAGCTTTACCAATCAACATGAAAAAACCAAGATACTTTCAAGCCAACAGGACTGGAGCCTTCAAAAATTAATGGACTGCATCATATGAAGCTGCCAACAGGAAGCAAACAGAGATCCTTAAGTACATCCTCCCCTGCATCCATAAATCAATCTGTAATAACAACTCCTACTGCTGCACTGAACTTTTCCTTCCAGATACTTACTTGGAAAACAGAAACATGCCTCCTCATGTGTCCATTAAAAACAATCAGTGTTGTTGATGCCTTCTCAGGTGATTTAATCCCTGTGTGTGTTCTTACCTTTCTTTAACAATTTGTATGACGCCTTTCCTCATCTTTATTCACTTATTAGCACAGCAAGCAGTTACTTGGGGAAGGGGAAGAAAAGAAAAATAACCTCAGACTGATGGGATGGAAAAAGCTGGAAAAAAGAAGGCAAGAGGCAGACTTGCTTGGTCTCAGAGCAGTTGCCATGGCACTGCATCTGACTTGTCTACAGATTCACTCTCTGGCAGGTAGCAGCAGGCACAGGAGTTAGTTTTCATCCTCTCTAGGAGAGGAAATTTATTTTCCCCTCACCTCTTGGGCACTAAAACCCAACCTTGTTCACAGTGCCAAGAAATACTGAGCTGACCCTGAATTCCACGTGCAATAGGAGTTCAGCCTACACCACTCCCCACACTGACTCCTCTCATTTTCAGCCTCTCACCTTCACCGCTAAACCTGCCCCAGTGAACCTCTCTCCAAAACTTTTGCAGTGTTTTGCATAGCAAAGTAATTCCTGTTGCTCCACTAGTTTTAATCTTTTCAAATCTACAACATACCTCTTCCTTTCTTCAGTGAAATTTGACTTATCCAAATGACCAGGAAGACACTGAAAAAGTTCAAATATTATCTTCAGAATAATTTTTAAAATATTTTCAGTGATTGCACCTGTCAAACTATATAATGTCAAAGAAGTCCTCCTTCTACAACTTAACCTCACTGAATAAGCTGATAAAAAGACAGATTTCCTGCAGCCTCAAGGGAAGCTCTTTGGGTGCACTTTGTCTCTTTCACCTAAATGACATCACCTATTCTCAGTATTTCCAACAGTCATTTCTGCCTTCGAGTGATTTAAATCTCTGCTGCCTGTACTCTCAGCTCCCATTTTTAGCACTAGAATCAAAGTATGCCTTGTCACCTCTTAACAAAAAAAATAAAGTTTCAAGTTTGTCAGATCTTCCCCCTCTGTCAAACTTGTTCTTCTCTTCCATCATTAGAACACTCAAACCCGTTTCTCCTTTAGCTAAGCTAAATCCTCTCTGCTTTCCTTTCCCGTTATTCTATAAACCTGTTTTCCTCTCTCTCTGATCCCAAAACCATAGTAGATAGCTTTGACATTACCCCTTTTCCTGCTTGTCGCCTCAAGTTCTTTGGTTTATTGGTTTATTGGGAATACAGCTGCCAAACCACCCCACCCTCAGCACCTGCTTTTGCCATTCCTTTATCTGTGACATCACATTTAGGCTTTTCGTTTTCAGCTTCAGAAGTCTCCAACTCTTACCTGAACTGCTGTCTCGGGCTTTAGCTTGGCCTGTGGTGCCCTCTGAGCTCTCCACTCTGAATATGCTGTGTTTTCAGAGTGTTTTCTGTCAATACTCTGGGCAGTCACATGGAAGCAATACAGCCTCCCTGCCACAGCTGCAAACATCATTAGCTCAACAATACTTTATATTTTTGGTAACAAGGAGACGAAGCAAAACTGCTGTCTTGAGTCAGGTGCCAAAACAAGGGCTCTGTCCCTCTACTTTCCAACTGGACACAGAATTATAACAAATGTGCTGCTCTGAACTGCTTTCATTCCATTCGAGAAAATAAAAATCTCAGAAACTTTCAAGCCACTTTGCAACCTTGGCACTTCAGGGCCTGAGCAACAAGGGGCAAACAAAAAACTATGATTAAGATTTGTTCTTTAATTCTTTGTGCCTCCTGCCCTTCCTTTGCAGAGGCTGCCTCATCAGGAGCCCGCTGCCTCAAACTGGAACTTGCAGCCCTGTAACTACCTCAGACTGTTTAGAACAATGACATTATTTATATACTGGATGGTTTGCAGGACACCTTTCATTCCTTTTCAGAGCAGCATATGATTATAATCACCAGTAACAAATACAGCACAGGAAAACACTGATTGCAGTAACTTGGCAATCCAGATGTCAGAGTTCCAGGTCTGTCCCAGCCAGGCTGTGTGACCCACTGTCAGATTCCACATGCAACTAATTCCTGCATAAGCAATAAAAATACCTGAGCTCAAGCCAGCTACAAGGCTTATCTCCATGTCTAACCACACTTCAGTTCTGCAGCCTCACATCTTCACTTTATACCTTTCTCTTTCTTACATTTTTCAGTGAATTTGCTTTAGTCAGACCGAGGCACTTCTCACATTTACCTTCCATGAGTACTCAAACAATTGAGTTCTCCTGACATAAATGCCTGTGGAGAAGGAGTGAATGTCAAGGTCTTAAGCCAAAGCATTTGTGTCAACCTAACATATGATTCAATGCAGAGATGATGTGCATTCTGCCACTCAGTAAATGGAAAGAAACACACCATTGTGATTTATGATTGAGCACCTCTGAGCAACACAGCTTGGAAATGAAAAACTAGCAGAGAGTTCTCTGCAGGGTAAAAAGGGGAAGGCAGGCCATGAAAAGGGGAAATGGAAAAATACATCTGGAATCTAAATTATTAAATAAGGTTAACGAAAAATATGATACTGTTCTTGTAAAAATCTTGAGCTGGTAATACCTTTTGGTCTCTCATTAGTTTTGAGCATGAATGTCAATATACAGGTTGTGAGCCATCTTTCTTTCCTGAGTTTCTTTCCATTGTCTTTGCTATTCCAGTTCCTGGTGAAAGAAGCAGGTCTGCACAGTTATCACTCATGTTCCTCTACTACAACTGTACCTTTCCAAATTACATTTCTATTCCATCACAAACCTCATTCTCCTCCCGTCAATTTATAATGCATTGTTGAGTAAACTTTACCAGAACAGGGATTTTCATACCTTGTTTTATAAATATTTATGCCTTTGGAGAAAAGAGTTAAATATAGATAGTGACATACAGTTAATTCTATTTCCAGAGCTGGACGAGCTGCAAAACAGCTTAATGCAAGTGACAACAACTGCAAATATAGACAAAAACAGAGTAATCACATCAGTATTTTTTATGCAAAATATATTATAAAAAATGAAATGTGCATATTTTACTAAAATGCAAACTATATATGGCCCATAAAATGCTGATTTTAATGTCCTCATTACCGTTAAATGATTTCCTTCTCGTGCACCATTTGGCAAAAACAGTCAGTTAATGGCACTATATTGGAGTTTAAATTACGATATTTTTTTTTAAATTAAGTATGTTCAGAAAATCTGTTCTGTAAGAGCACTGCTGAAAACATGATTACTAGAAAAACACTAGGATGAGAAGTGTCTTTCCCCAGCAGTAATATTGCATTCCCATTCTCACTTGAAAGTGAAACCTGTGTACAGGATTTAGTAACTTTTCTCTATTTTATTTCCAGTTTCTCTGTTATGCAAGAGAAGGCAAGAGGAAGACAACACTGACAGATATTTCAACAGCTATTTATTCATTGCAGAAGTGCTCTGCTTCCAATAGATGGTGAAAACCTGTGCTGGGGGGAAAAAAAAATCACAGAAGAGAAAAATCAAGCACTGGAGACTGCAATGCAAATATTCTTACAAACAATTATGTTTTTTCACTTACCCAGCCTTGCAGCCAACTGCTAAACTTGCCCA